TCCTCTCTGCCCTTCCTCTTCCTCTTCCTCCTCGGAGTCCTTGCACACTCTGTAGACTCTCTGGTGAACTGACAGAGGACCGACATGAGGACGTGTCCATCCGCTCTGTAGTCGCTCACTCTCCAGCGGTTTGTGAGCTCTGTGCTTTCAGAGTGGTACACAGGGGAGATGACCCTGGTCACACTCCTGCCGTCAACCTCCACGTGTCGGACGCGGTTTCTACGGTCCCCCCTCAGGGCTCCCAGCTCCGTCTTCTCAGGGAGAACTGGAGTCAGTATGGTTCGAGGAGCGGAGCTGGAGTCTGGAGCGGGCACCATCATGCCTGATGGTCCTTCCATTAGAGGAGACGGCGTGGTGTTCTCTCTCTGCTCCTGCTCCACGTGGGCGAAGGGCGTGTCCGTCTGGCGTGTGCGGAAGGATCCCCTGAACGGAATCAGAGGGAAGTCTTTAGAGCCTGTGATGAGGTTGTGGTACAGGCTCAGGATGGAGTCCCTCATGGAGTCCATGTTTGAGCCGCTGAGTGGACGATTCCTCAGGTTGGTCACTATCAGCTGGAGGACCCGTCCTGGTCGAGGCAGAGCAACTGAATGGACAATCAAGAAAAGGAGAACATTAGTCACATGAGTCAGGATGACATGACTGGACTCATTAAAGCCCAGATGACCAAGTCAGAATAGCTGCTCATTGATGACTTTAAAGCACTGTTCATATCATTACACACAGGAAGACTCACAGTAGGACTTTTACTGTGAAAAACCTTTTATTATTCACATTGTTCAATAATGAGACTTTAGGACACCACATTAGGGCTGCACAAGTAATCTAAATATTATCCAAATCACAATATGGCTGAGTCCATGAAAACTGCAGGAGCTGCAATTATTTGACGAATGTGTGAAAAACAGCATCATGAAAAAACATGTTTTTGGTACAGACCCCCAAAATTCAGTCATCATGACACTGAAAGTGAAGATTTCTGCACACTTAGATCTATACAATAAAGCACTTAATATATTATACATATATGATCCTACTTTACAGAGAAAATGTCATTTGTGTCACAAAAGTTATTATTCTCAATCGCAATATCTGTTAATAATAGAAATATGATGTTTTTATATTGTGCAGCCCTTCACAACTTTAAACTGAATCCAATCCAACTTGTGTTTATGAACATTTTGTTGACATTCAAAACGTTCTGAAGTTGTGCTGTTTGATTTTGACTCTTGGTACAAGAGACATGTGATCCTTCAGTCTGTCTCTCTTATAATAACATGTAGAGTGTTTGATTTCTATCATTTCAAATAGGATGAAGAGATAAAAACTTGCAGTGAGACTTAATAACTGATTTATTAGCTGCATTTCATTCAGCTCAGCAGTTTTAAAAGCACAATATGGGCACACTATGGCAGTAATAAGGGAACTGAAGGTCTCATTTATTACATTCACACTCAGAACTGAAACAACAGTCCCCATAATAACTGTGAATACCGCCCGTCAGTCTCCCACATACAAACAGCAGGCCCAGTCTGACCACACTGACGTCACAGTTCTCGGGCTCGTTCCAATATCTGACATCGTCTCCATGGCGCGTGCAACATACACAACTTTGAGCGTTTTTTAAAAAATGTCCCGGTCGCCATCTTTGTCCTATACTTTCAATGAAACATCTAAACCTACTGTAGTAGAGCCACACAATACAACTATGAACCTGAATGTGACTAACCTAATATGACCTCTTTAAACTCGACGACCCTGAGGCCCCTAAAAATATATTTTTCCTCATTTTTTTAAAATTAATAATTGACTTTTTTCACCTGCCAGGTGCTCGCTCAATAAAATATATAATCAATAATCATTTTATACCAAGATAACGAGTTTAATACAGGTGTGATATTTTACTGCCCCTTCTGGGGAATACTGTCAACCAACAACATGGAATAACTAATATGAATATGAACAGATGTTGTATTTATTGATGTAGTTAATACTCTCATATGAGTCTCTGTAGAATATTGATAGGAGCAAACATGTCTGTCTGAGTTTACCATAGCGCTCATCCAGCAAACGGAGGATGCCTATAGTCAGCAGGTATTTCTCACGCCTCAACCCAGAGGAGGCCATTGTTTCCTCACTGCAACAGCTGCTCTCTCACTCCCAGATGTTAGCAGGATAACACAGATGTTGTCTGAACTCTGACTTTTCACTTTTCAACAGATCAGCACTTGGATCCCGCAGGTGGACAGTTTGAGAGTTGAGCTCCTGCCTGTCTGTCTGTCTGTCTGTCTGTCTGTCTGTCAGCGCTCAGGTGCGCAATTAGAATTAAGGCTTCAGCTTTTATAGGAGCTGAATACGTCAGTCCTCATCACCATGACTACCAGCGACACCTTACTGATGGGCTCTAATTGGGGAAATAATAATGTATTATTTATTTATAATAAAAGGTGTTACTCATGTTAACTCAAATCCTGATTATATTGAGACTGTTGCAGTGATTAGCTGTCTAATAAATCAAGTGAAAAATAATTGGCAACTATTTTTCATCATGTTTCATCGTTCCAGTCATTTATAAAGTCCAAATACCAAAACCACTTGATGCTCTCAGTGTCAGTTTACTGCCTCAGTATCCTGATGCGACTGCCTGTCTTCACCCCGGATAAAGGTTTAAAGGAGCTGCTGGACACAACGGGCCGCAGCAAGATAATGGCGCAGAGAATAACAACAAATAGCACATTTCTTTACCTTTTATATTCCAAAAACAACACAAAAATAGCCTCTATGGGACAGAGTGAAGCTGCAGGTCATCTGAACCTCCACAGGCGCATTTACGCAGATTTTACGCAGATTTTGACGCTGCGTGCACACACCCATCCTGTAAATACTGCGCCGGTTTGGTATCTTGGTGAGGAGAGGTGCAGTTGATTGTAAGCGGTTTAAGAAAACTTTAAAGATACTGTAAGCCTGGGTATTCTTAGCGTTAACTATAAAGCTGATAGGTACGTGGGTAAAGCAAAAGCACGGGGACAACTTCATCTTGGTTACTCGATCCACTTTAATGTCCGTTCCAACAGTAGGACAACTGAACACTCTCTTTACTATATCACTCCGCCAATCTTCAATCAACCATTATAACATTCCAGGTAACATGCACCTTATGTAGTTCCTCATCTACAGTGCAGAACAGAATACAAATATGCTTATATATGGAATTACCCTTAATTCATTTATGCAAATTCAATAAACATAGTAAAGTCATTCACTAAATAAATCTCCTCTTGTAATATGAACAGTATCTCCGCATTTCGTTGTTTTTTTTTTTTAAATAAGATCATTATTTAAAATCTATTTATTTTCTCTAAAGACCTAATGCAAGCTATATTCACCGAACATTCATAATACAGACAGAGCATTGTATAAAAAATTACTTAAAATAGTATCAGTAAAAGTCGTCTCTGATGTTCACAGGAAATAATCTGCTCAGAATTCACCCAAATCACTGTGTTTACACAAACTTCCTGCAGTTCTTGTGTTCACTGTTTGGGTTCATTGTACAGTTCATCATGTTTTCTCTACCGTTACTGTTATGCATTGAATATAATATGAAATAGCCATAAAAATGTCCCTTAATGGGGTTGTCAGTTTACTGTACAGTGATAGAAAAGAGGTCTCTTAAGGAAAGGGTTGGAACCACTGCAGTAGAGGCTGGCGACCCCAGTCCAGCTGCGCACCGCACTCAGTGCCAGTCAGTGCGTCTCATGCAGGTCGACAGCTCAACGCGCTGTTCTTAATACGTGGAATCCCAGCTGAAATCACACAAACCCCTTTCAATCATGTTTTGTTCACTTTTATTTACCAACTGGCATGTGATCACACCGAAAACACCGTTTGATATTCCGGTTATGGCATCACTGTGCAGTGAGGCAGAATGAAGATGAATGAGTGTCGTATAAGACAGTTATCAGCCTCAACTGAAGGCCTGTCCTTTAACTCTGCTGACTCTACAGCCAGCTGAAGGCAGCGGCTATCTGTCCCACCTGCACTCTCTAACCGGAGCCATGTTGGGCACTTTGGGGCCACACTTACGCACAGAAGACAGGATGGACATGTATCTGATAACATGTCTATCGCTGAAATAATGGATGATTGTATTGGAACATAATGTTAATTGTTCATTCATTTGTTTGCTCTTTGCTGTTTACATCATTTTTTTTTCTTTTTGTATACTTTATCTATATTTTGCTATAGTTTGTACAGACCAAACTCGCAATTATGAGCGTTTTGTTGAAAAATAAATCGTTATGATGGGACACAGGATAAAAATATCATGGTTTAGGTTAAAATAATCACTTCTTTTAAAGTTATGGAAATGTGATGATTTGAGTTTAAATGTGCGGCCTACTCATCTAAACCTGGGGGGCTTCGTCGTCATGGTTACAGTAGTGAAGATGCGGTTATGGTTACGGAACGATCTTTGTGATTCTTTAAAAAAAAAACTAAACAACGTTTACGGTCACAACAGCAGTATCCCGAGGTGAAGTCTGATATTTGGTTGGCCTAACTGTCCAACACCAGCATCTACCCTGGCGGACTTTGAGGATACAATGTTTAAGATGATGGAGTGCCGCGGAGACAGTAAGACAAGTGCGACTCGGAGCACCAACACCGACTCGGTGCATTCAGCAAGACCCTGCAATGAGGGCCGGGCAGCGGCTCTGCGATATGTGGCAAAGACCGTCCTGAGCGAGAGCGAGAGGGAGAGGGAGGGGGAGGAAGAGGAAGATCTCTGCTCCGACATCCTCTCCTCCTTCATCAACACCCTGGAGGACCGGCAGTGGGAGAGCATACGGGAGAGGATGAGACAACCCGTAAGTGACCTGCTGCCTCTGCACCAACACACCTTTTATCTTTACTGGTTTCTGCTAGTTTATAGCTTCAGTTGCATTTGGTTATTGTTTAACAGAAGAGAATTTAAACCAAAATGTCCAAATTGCGGACATTCTTTTTCTCTTTGATTGGATTTGAACAGCTTTCTTGAACAGAAATACAGCAAAATATATGCTGGGAAACATCCTCCCAGTCATATGAAGTTAATGAGATTGTAAACATCTTTTAAAACTGCCTTAACCATCTCATAATCTCATAATACACAGCCCCTACTGTAACATAAACTCAGTCATCCATTTTCAAATTTAATTTTCCTTAATTTGCAATATTAGGGAGACTGGTTTCTCTAATGAATCCTAAATTCATGTGCTAAAAGCTGTCAGGTTTCACTTTGTTTTACGGTCCGATTCAGTTGTTTCAACGCCTAAAGAATTCAACTTAATTTAACATGAAAAGTTTGTTCTCAAAGATGTCAGGTTGTGATAGTGAATTCAAAGCAAAACAGCCCCAGACTCCAGTGAAAGTCACTGAATAACTTATATCTGTTCTTTGTAATGTTAGTAGACATTTACAGTGTGTTCAGTACAGTCAACATCAAACAGCTTTTCTGTGATTTCTCCTTTTTCCAGCTGACACAGACTCACCTGGCCCGGGTGTCCACGAGGATCATCAGGGTGGTGTCTGAGCTCGTTTTCCAACTGCTGGTCCCGGCTCTGATGGACCGCCTCCAGGCCGAAGACGACTTTTCTGTGGCTTCCAGAGGCTCCAGCAAATCCTGCAAGTTGCGTGGCAGTCATAGCGAGGAGGAGACTCAGAGCACAGACAGCAGGCCCACCTCTCACTCAGATGCACCTCTTAACAGGTCAGTGTAGGGGCACCGTTAGCCTTCTGGGGGGGTTCTCTGTGTTTTTTTTGCTCTCAGGGGGTCCCTCCACATGGAAACCAGCTAGGGTAAACCAAAAACAACCTTTACATGTGGGGGGCCAGGAAAGGATGCTGTTAGGGTCAGTGATCTTCATAATGATAAATATGGACACAAAAATCACTAGAAAACGTGAAGGTACTCTCGTTGAAACAATTAATTAATAGTGTTATTGTCACAGCATGGTCAAGTTAGACCCAAAAAGCATCAAGAGTTTGTCAGGGAGTCAAAATAAAGCCTAGTGTGTCTACTAATACTTGAAAACTTACTGATGTTTAACTTAATCACTTTGTAAAAAGAAAATTCTATGCACTATATTTTAAATCCAGATATTCTTCAGATAGTTGAAAACTAATTTATTAATAAGCTCAAATTCATAATGGTAATGATGATGAAATTATTAATATAGAAGTGAATTTAAACACGAATACAAATGGAGAAACCTATCCATCCAATGCTGAAACTGAAATTAAAATGCTGATTGAATTAGGGGAAATTTATTTATTTGTTTATTGCCATTTAGCTGCAGCTCTCCAATTTGAGAATTCACTATTCACTATTATTATTAACTTATTTTTGCATATTTTGTAATCTCGATCATATAAAATTAGCAATTTAAAGATGTCTCTTTGGGAACATTCAAAGGATTTAACTATTTCCTGGTGCAGGATTATGTTGTACAATTAATAAAATAATCAAAAGATTAATCAATAATGAAATAAATTACTAATTGCAGGCATAGAAAAGAGTTTATGGTTGCATATTTTTGTTTTGATTGAGGCTGTGACTCTGGCTCTGTAAAAAAGTACTTGTTAGCAAATGTGTGATTTATCAGGAAATTGCCATTTAAACTAATCAAAAACTGTTTGTTTGGTTGGTTGGTTGGTTGGTTGTTTGCAGATCCTCCCCTGTGATGGTGAAACCCTTCATTGAAGATCCTCTCCAGAAGTCTTCTGGAGTCAATGAGGAAAGTCTGGCCAAGTCGTTGGGCAGATCTATCTCCCAGTCCTCTGCCAGGAGCATGCCGGGAGAAGTAGTACAGCAAGTGAACCAGAGCCCAACTGGGCTCGGTGCCTGCACCCCTCCTCTTGAGAACCATGCTGAGGTCTGTGCAGATCAGGCCCAGGAACAGGTGGCAGAGGTCACGTCTGTCACCGGGAAGGCCTTGAGCTCTGTGGATGGAGGCCTCGCAGAGGTAGAATCATGGCAGCACGTCGAACAGTTTTTGGAACCGGCAACAGAGGAGGTGATCTCAGCTATCATTAAAAGCATGGACGTCTGTCAAGAGAAGACAGAAGCAGGCGCAGAGACAGAAAACACTGCAACGAAAATCCTGAAACACCTGGCCATCAAAATGAGATCTTCAGAATTTACAGAGGAAGACACAGAAAACAGATCTCTGGACCAGTTTGATATGGAAAGTTTGGAAGACTTTGAAAAGGACTTCTTTTGCAACTTCACACACCTTCACGAGAAACTTCAGTGCTCCATCAGCAAAGTGAGAGCAGCCTTTAAAAATAGAGAAAGATTTGAAAAAACACTGAAGACAAACCTTGAAGTCAGAGAGGGATCACCTCTTCAGGGCGTGACGATAACTTATCCAATGACCGTGTGCACTCAGGATGTTGTGAAAGACCTATCATGCAGGAGGTTTCGTCATACCAGCCTGAAGGAACTGAAGGAATTCCTTATGAGGTCAATGCACACGTTTTTCTCACAGAACTTCGGGGCAATGGCCCCTTCGCTTGAAGTCTGCATGGCTTCTGTGGACTCTGTGGCCTCAGAGATGCTAGACGTTGTGGTGAACAGTGTAAATCAACTGTGCCACCCGCAGACAATGGACTCTACCCTTCCATGGCAACAGTCTGAAAACACCACAGTGTCTGAGGAGCAAGTAGCCTCTACAGCAACAGTGCTAAAACTCCATTTGCAGGAGAAACTGCAGAATTTTTTCAACTTCCAAAAAGAGGCTTCAGAAAAACTGAAAGAGGGCGAAATAGAAAAAGAAATGACTGTGCTGTCCAACAAGAGTGACATAGAAGATGAGGACACCCAGAGGGGCGGTGTTATGCACAGTACCCACAATGCAGCGACTGGTTCACGTGAATCCGTGGTCAAGAGCATGACGAATGTGGTGAGGTCTTTCCTGGATGAAACTGAGCAGTCGTTGAAACAACAGGGCAGCGTGCAGGGCGGTGATGGGTCGCTGTCCGGGCTAGAAGAGCTGATCAGGCAGGACCAGCTGCTCAGCTTCTCTAAGTTGCTGACTGACAAGATCACTACCTTGTTTTACGAAAAGGAACAGAGTCTTAGGGAGTCGCTGGAACCCAGCAGAAGGACTTCCTCCGATTCCGAACTCGGCAAGGAGACAAGATGTCCTAGTGGTTTGATCCAGCCCTGTGAGGAGGTGTATGTATTTGTTGAGGAAACTGTCAAACGCCTGCTGGCATCAGTCGTCTTCCCTCCTCCATCCTGGGGAATGGGTCACATGATCCAAGTCCAAAGCGACCCTTCATCTGCTGCTAACTGGGAAAAGTCGGTCGAGGAGTATGAGGGCGCCATTGGTGTCTACAGTCAGCTGATTTCAGACAAGGTGAAGGGAAGGGTCAGCAGGATGTCTGCCTCCTCCAGGCTCCAGCAGGAAGCTGGAGGGCGATTGTCTGTGGACGCCCAGGGAAAGGACACCCAGGACGACGAAGATGAAGTGCTTGATGGAGTCACCAAGCCAAAAGAAAACAACATCAGTGGTTTCTTCCAGAACATCAGGAAGAAATGGAGGTCACTGACAGGGAGTCCAGCTGTCAACTGAGGACAACAGACGAGTCAGATTTCACTCATGGCCATAACCCTAACCTCCCTCCACACTCATCTAACAACCATTCCACTCTAACCCTTACCCAAAACCTTACCCTACCTGACCTTGACCACTACACCCGATTTACTTCCATCTGACCCTGTGAAATTGCACCTTCTGTCATAAATAAAAATACATTATTCAGTGGCAGCTCTGACTACGTGTTTCTGTCTAAAGCTGGCAGAGGTGGTGGTTCAGCAGAAAGCAGAGTTTCAGAAACCACATAATCAAAAAGTAGATAGCTTATTTGAAAATGTATTTGGTAAATGTAATGAGTAAAGCAGAAACCAGGAGGAGGTGGAAAGAATTACTCACATGATTACTGGTTTTTCCACTGAAGACAGGAATGTATTGACTTATGGGTAAGCAAAGTCAGGCCCGCAAGTTGTCAAATTAATACAAACCAGTTCTTGCTGATAAAGCTGCTGTAAGTCATCTTTTAGTGTTAGTTTAGGAGATAAAACTACTGATAAGTTGATCAACAGAACATTTAAACATCTATTGACTCCACATCCCTTTGTACTTTTCTCTTTCCTTTCATTGAATATTTTGTTTGCTTTTTGAAGACGATACCCTGGAAAGATGTGTTCTGACATTTTAGAGACTAAAAGATGAAACCATTAATAGAAAAAAAAGATACATAAGAATCCGATAAATCAAACTTATTCAAAACTTTTCTCTCCAAAATGTAAATGGCTTCTTATTAACTCATTAACCAATCTATTTTCCGTCTTATATTTCATGTCCTCTAATGTCCCCTAAATTATAGTATCAAATGACATAGTCCACAATTAACAACTACATACCAGCAAGTTATTAGAAACATTTCTACAAAATCAGTAGGAAACTAAGAGTTCCATAAAATTAAACTTTGCAAAGAGACCTTATTTTGGTAAACTTTCTTTGAATCTTTTATTTAATGGTAGAAACAGTTCATCAGTTCTCCTGCAGAAGACTCTTAATGTCAGTATATGGAAGAAAGAGAGAAAGAAAGGCAAAGTCATTACAGTGAAATTTACCCACACACTGTTACCATCATTTCAAAAAAGGCCTGTAAAGGAAAGT